TTTGTCACCTGGGTCATATTCCCCTCCCCTATTGTTTTCATGATGCCTCAATCATTTTTTTCTCCCCTTTTTTATTTCTTCAAAGTTGGCCCCTTGGGCTTCTTGGAGCCCGTACACAAAAACTCCTCGCCCTTTCCCCCCTCCCACTGAGTCTCCATCTGCTTCCCTGAGGCTTTTATTTCCTTCCATTGACATTTCTTCCCTTCAGCCCCTGTCAACTGAAATTTCTATTCTCATAAACTGTTTTCCCTGACCACTGTCCCCCCTTGCTACTGCATTTGGCTGTTAGAATCTCTGCTATAGCAAACCTCATTGTCTTGGGCCTGTCTTTTGATCAGTGTGCTCATCGTCTTTTCCCCGGCCCCCACGTGGGTCTGATGGGGCCTTTCGTGTACGGCATTCTCCGTTTTTTGCTTACCACCCCTTGTCCTGTTGTGTGTGGTAGTGTGTGTGGTGTGGTTTTTGTGTGTGTGGTTGTGTGTGTGGTGTGTGTGTGGTGTTTAGAAATTAATGTTGTGAATGTGTGTGTACTCCCATTTGTCCACCTAGTTGGGTTGCGGGGGTCAGCCCGAGCTCCTCCCCCCGCCTCTTCACTGATCGCTACTAGGTCACTCTCCCTGAGCCGTGAGCTTTATCATACCTCTGCTTAAAGCTATGTATGGATCCTGCCTCCACTACATCGCTTCCCAAACTATTCCACTTACTGACTACTCTGTGGCTGAAGAAATACTTCCTAACATCCCTGTGATTCATCTGTGTCTTCAGCTTCCAACTGTGTCCCCTTGTTACTGTGTCCAATCTCTGGAACATCCTGTCTTTGTCCACCTTGTCAATTCCTCTCAGTATTTTGTATGTCGTTATCATGTCCCCCCTATCTCTCCTGTCCTCCAGTGTCGTCAGGTTGATTTCCCTTAACTCTCCTCGTAGGACATACCTCTTAGCTCTGGGACTAGTCTTGTTGCAAACCTTTGCACTTTCTCTAGTTTCTTTACGTGCTTGGCTAGGTGTGGGTTCCAAACTGGTGCCGCATACTCCAATATGGGCCTAACGTATACGGTGTACAGGGTCCTGAACGATTCCTTATTAAGATGTCGGAATGCTGTTCTGAGGTTTGCTAGGGCGCCCATATGCTGCAGCAGTTATTTGGTTGATGTGCGCTTCAGGAGATGTGCCTGGTGTTATACTCACCCCAAGATCTTTTTCCTTGAGTGAGGTTTGTAGTCTCTGACCCCCTAGACTGTACTCCGTCTGCGGCCTTCTTGCCCTTCCCCAATCTTCATGACTTTGCACTTGGTGGGATTGAACTCCAGGAGCCAATTGCTGGACCAGGTCTGCAGCCTGTCCAGATCCCTTTGTAGTTCTGCCTGGTCTTCGATCGAGTGTATTCTTTCATCAACTTCACGTCATCTGCAAACAGGGACACCTCAGAGTCTATTCCTTCCGTCATGTCGTTCACAAATACCAGAAACAGCACTGGTCCTAGGACTGACCCCTGCGGGACCCCGCTGGTCACAGGTGCCCACTCTGACACCTCGCCACGTACCATGACTCGCTGCTGTCTTCCTGACAAGTATTCCCTGATCCATTGTAGTGCCTTCCCTGTTATCCCTGCTTGGTCCTCCAGTTTTTGCACCAATCTCTTGTGTGGAACTGTGTCAAACGCCTTCTTGCAGTCCAAGAAAATGCAATCCACCCACCCCTCTCTCTCTTGTCTTACTGCTGTCACCATGTCATAGAACTCCAGTAGGTTTGTGACACAGGATTTCCCGTCCCTGAAACCATGCTGGCTGCTGTTGATGAGATCATTCCTTTCTAGGTGTTCCACCACTCTTCTCCTGATAATCTTCTCCATGATTTTGCATTACTATACATGTCAGTGACACTGGTCTGTAGTTTAATGCTTCATGTCTGTCTCCTTTTTTAAAGATTGGACTACATTTGCTGTCTTCCATGCCTCAGGCAATCTCCCTGTTTCGATAGATGAATTGAATATTGTTGTTAAGGGTACACATAGCGCCTCTGCTCCCTCTCTCAATACCCATGGGGAGATGTTATCTGGCCCCATTGCCTTTGAGGTATCTAGCTCACTCAGAAGCCTCTTCACTTCTTCCTCGGTTGTGTGCACTGTGTCCAGCACTTGGTGGTGTGCCCCACCTCTCCGTCTTTCTGGAGTCCCTTCTGTCTCCTCTGTGAACACTTCTTTGAATCTCTTGTTGAGTTCTTCACATACTTCACGGTCATTTCCTGTTGTCTCTCCTCCTTCCTTCCTTAGCCTGATTACCTGGTCCTTGACTGTTGTTTTCCTCCTGATGTGGCTGTACAACAGTGTGTGTTTGTGTGTTTGTGTGTGTTTGTGTTTGTGTGTGTTTGTGTGTTTGCGTGTGTGTGTGTGTGTGCGTGTGTGTTTGTGCGTGTGTGTGTGTGTGTGCGTGTGTGTGTGTGTGTGTACTCACCTAATTGTACTCACCCAATTGTGGTTGCAGGGGTCGAGACTCAGCTCCTGGCCATTCCTCTTTACTGATCACTACTATGTCTTCTCTCTCTATCTGCTTCCTGAGCTTTGTCATATCTCGTCTTAAAGCTATGTATAGTTTCTGCTTCCACTGCATCACTTGCTAGGCTATCCCACTTCCTGACGACTCTGTGAATGACGAAGTACTTCCTAACATCCCTGTGACTCGTCTGAGTCTTCAGCTTCCAATTGTGACCCTTTGTTTCTGTGTCCCCTCTCTGGAGCATCCTGTCTTGTCTATTCAACGCAGTATTTTGTATGTTGTTATCATGTCTCCCCTGACCTTCCTATCCTCCGGTGTCGTCAGTCCGATTTCCATCACCCTTTTTCGGGAAATTTCCCCTTGAGCTCCGAAACTACCCTTGTTGCAAACCTTTTGTACTTTCTCGAATTTCTTGACGTGCTTGACCGGTTGGGTTCCAAACGGTGCCAACCCCAGTAGGGGCCCTGAAGTCACAAGTACAGTGTCCTGAACGATTCCTTACTAAGGTATGGGAACGCTATCTCAGGTTTGCCGGTGCCCTATGCTGCACGTTATCTGGTTGTTGTCCCCTCCGGGACGTGCTGGGGGTTTGGTCCCCCCAAGCCCCTTCTCCTTGTTTGGGTTCAGTTTTTTGTCAACCTACCCTTATACTCTGTCTGCAGTCTTCTTTGCCCTTCCCAGTCTTCGTGTTTTTGCATTTGGCAGGGTTGAATACAAAACCTTTGCGGGACCACGTGTCCACCTTCCAGGTCTCTTTGGTTGCCTTTCCTACCCAAATTTTAAACCCCTTCCTTTAACGTCACATCTCTGCGAACGGGTTTTCAGAGTCTACCCCTTCCGCATATTCACATATATCAAAAATAGCACTGGTCAGGACTGACCTGTGTGACCCCGATCGTAACAGGCGCCCCCCTGTGATACCTCATCAGTACCATGACCGTTTTGCCTCCCCCGTCAGGTATTCTCTGACCCTTTTTTTTTTTTCAGTGCCCTTTCCCGTTATCGGCCTGTCCCCCAGCTTCTGCACTAAACTTGGTGAGGAAGTGTGGAAGGCCTTTCCCTAGTCCAGGAAACTGCAAACAACCCACCCCCCTTTTCCCTGTTCTTCCCTTTTGTTAGCTTCCCTAAAACTCCAGAAAGGGTTGTGAAGGATTTGCCTTCCTTTAATCCCTGCTGGGTTTTCGTTTTTAATTTGCTCCCTTCCAGGTGCTCCCCACTCTCCTCCGATAATCTTCCCATGACTCCCTACTATCCCGTGAGAGACACTGGTCGAATTTAGTGCCCCGTTTCTGTTCCCCTCTTTAAAATGGGGGCTACTTTGCCGTCTTCCATTCTCAGGTAGTTGCCCCTTTAAGGATGTTTGAAGAAAATTTTGGTTAGTGGCACGACGCATCTCTTTTTTCCCTCTCTAAGGACCAAGGAGATGTTGTCCCCAACCCCCGCCCTTTTAAGTATCGAGGTCATTAGCGCTTCTCACCTCCCCCTCCACCTTCCATCTTTGTTTCCTCACATACCTTGTGATCGTTCTTGTGAGTTCCCCACCTTATTTCCTCAGCCTGATCACCTGGTCTTTGACTGTTGTCTTCCTCCTAATGTGGCTGTACAGCAGTTTCGGATCAGACTTGACTTTCGATGCTATGTTATTTTCATACTGTCGCTGGGCCTCCCTCCTTACCTGTGCATACTCGTTCCTGACTCTCCAACTAATCTCCTCATTTTCCTGTGTTCTTCGCCTTCTGTACTTTTTCCATTCTCTAGTGCACTTAGTTTTTGCTTCCCTACACCGTCGGGTAAAGCAGGGGCTCCTGGAGTCTACCTGGAGGTTATTCCGGTGATCAACGCCCTCGCGGCCCGGTCCACGACCAGGTGGATCAGGGCCTGATCAAGCAGGCTGCTACTGCTGGCCGCACGCAGTCCAACGTACGAACCACAGCACGGCTGATCCCGCACTGACTTTAGGTATCTGTCCGGCTCTCTGTTGAAGGCAGCCAGGGGTTCTGGTCTTACCATTATTTCTGTTGCCCTTGGGAACAAACTTTTCCTCTGCCTACTTGCATTTTGTTGTTACGTATTCCAATATTTCGTTTACCGACTTTCCCCAGTTCTCTGCCCCACTGAACTTCTTGCAGGAAGTTCCTCTAACCTATGTAGTCAACTCTACTATGTATTCAAAGCACAGAACCACGTGGTCACTAGCTCCTAGGGGCCTCTCATATGTGATGTCCTCAATGTTTTAACTGCTCAGGGTTAACACAAGGTCCAGTCTTGCTGGTTCATCCTACCCTCTCTCTCTGGTAGAGTCCTTAACATGTTGAGGCATTAGATTTTCCAGTACCACATCCATCATATGTGTGAGTGTGTATGTGTATGTGTGTGTGTGTGTGTGTGTGTGTGTGTGTGTGTGTGTGTATGTGTGTGTGTGTGTATGCGTGTGTGCATGTGCGTGTGTGTGCTTGCGTGTGTATGTGCGTGTAAGTACAGGTAAATTAATAAATTTATTCTTACTTGTTATAAAGAATAATGTCGGGTTTCCAAACCCGCTGGAAAGGAACTCTGATGACCTGGATGCCGCCAAAGTCTGAAGCGTTCCAGGTGAGGTGTGCGTCTGTCCAGATCTGCGTGAGCCAGCAGTTGGTGGTGAGGATCTGGTTCTTCTCGTCCTAGAGGGCAGACCAGCCTGGTTATTAATTATCTTTATGAGTAGTCATAGTCATAAATTATTAGTTAGCTGTGGTTTTAACTATGTGATAGCATTAGTCAAAATTTGTTTAAATTTTCATCTAAGTCAAAATCTGATTGTTAACTTAGGTCAGAATCTTATGTTTTTTTTTAGTTTAGTTACTAGTAGTTATTTGAGATCCTGATTTATAAGTTAACAAATGAATGTGTGGATTGTGTGGTTAATGACGATCATATATACAGGGTTAGCTAAGTTCAACATCTGATGGAATTGTGAGGTCAGAATTTAGTGGTTAGTGAAAGTCAAGATCTAGTTTGTCTTTGAGTTGATGAATTGGTGATAATTTATGACAGTCATTACTTAACAGACGAATATGATGTTCATTAACTTCTAATGGGTATACTAGTCATGACTTGTTACGCAGTTTAAATGATCAATAAATGGCTCTAGTGCTGATGATGGCCTGTTATAGAGCTCATAACATGGCCTGTTATATAAGTTTTGTATTGAAGGCTAAGATATTCTCTGAGAACAGTGGTCATGAGAGGGTGCTGTCTGTCCTGAGCTCTTTTGAGGGATTATTATGGAGTGTTATAGATCATCATGGCTTACTTTTGTAGTGTCATGAGAGTCTGAGCTCAAGGCGTTGAAGGAGGAGGTTCAACTTTTCAATAAAAAGAATAGGAGAGTGAAAATACTCCAGTATGTTACATTTTAATTTGGCGTATGTCACACACCTATATAGGCATGCCCCCCGACCAGCAAACCAGGGGCTAAGAGTATAACGAGTAGGGTCCTCATCGTTATTCTAGTACCCTGGTTCAATCAACCAATGACAATGAAGCCCACCAAAGTCGTGAAGAGATGTGGGACACTTGTGAATCAACATTGACTTGATAAATTAGACACATATGCAACATTTGGGTATCTTTAATGAAGTAACGTTTCTCCACACAGTGGCTTTATCAGTCCATACAATAGAGAATGGTGAAGAACAGGAGGAGTTTGAGGTAATCAGTCCCTCAGCCTTGAGTCGATGTGGTCAGTCCATCAATTATACTTTTTAAGACTGATGGACTGACCACATCGACTCAAGGCTGAGGGACTGATTACCTCAAACTCCTGTTCTTCACCATTCTCCCTTGTATAGACTGATGAAGCCACTGTGCAGAGAAACGTTTCCTTACTAAAGATACCCAAATGTTGCACATGTGTCTAATTTATCAACTTGTCGGTTCTCTGAGCCATTCATCTACAACACTGACTTACCTCCAGTCTTGTCGCAATGGTTCTCACCGTGTCTCTTGCTTGCATTTGCCTAATTGTACATATATAATATTGTATATATTTGTACATACAAATTTATTGTTTGGCTAAGTGAGCAGGCCACTAGACTACAAATGTGTTCGTAGTATGGGGGGCCTGTCATGAAGTCTTTGTCTCTGCATTATCTCTACGAGCCCACCTACGTTCGTGCATTGCAAACCTGCAAAGTCGTTGTGTGCTATTGCTTCGTTTGGTATAGTGGGTTATGCCACAGACACGTGTTAGGCGATTGGTGACTGAATATACCCTGCAAAACCTGGCCAGATTATTTTTGCAATACTGCTGGCGCACCGCTCGTTGTATTGGTATAGAGTATTAACGATCTCTGCTGCACATCTTCGTGAATGTATACGCAAGAAATAAAATTTTGGATCGAGTAACATGGCGCTCTGCTGCTATGGGAGATCTTAATCCCTGTGTCGGATCCTTCGTAATGGGGGAGGACAAATGTCGGAGAAACAGAATCAGTATCCAACTGGGGAAACAGGAGGTGAATCTGGGTTGTCTCGAGTTAGTCAGATTCGTTAGTGCTTGAGTTGGCTAAACTGCGTCTTGAGAATACCAGGGAGCAACATGCATTTAATAAAGAGGAATTTGATAGAGAAGAGACAGTTTCGGCTTACTATAGACGACAATTTTAGCGTTCAGAAATCTGTCGCTAGTATGTTGGTTTTCTGATTCTGAGCCTGAGCAATTTTTCGAGTCTCGAAAATCAGGCTCGAGTTTTGTAATGGCCATTCGGGCATTGGGTAGCAGGAATTTACAGCTGGTTTAAGTGCTGAAGATTTCGCTAATCACTACGTTGTGAAAGCGGCTGTACTCAGTGCATATCAATGCATTCCCGCCAAATATAGGCGGGAATTTAAACTGAGTAATCATCAATTGAGTCAGTCTCATGTGGACTTTGTTCGTGGGCAATCGAAATCGTTCGCCGTGTGTTACAAGTCCACTTGTGTGTCTAATTTCAGTGGCCTAGTGCAACTGGTCCTTATGGACAGTCTTCTCGAAACAATTGGATCAAAGGTTCGGGTGTTTTTAGAAAACCATTCAGTGAAAATTGCTATGGAGGTGTCTAGACTTGCTGACACATTTGAGGCCAACCGCTCCTTGTCCAAGCGATCTCTTAACTTTTCTTCCCAGCAGCCTAGTATGGACGAAGATAGTGGACCGACCTCTGAATGGAGCTGGAGCTGGGAAGCGACTTATGCCTCAAGGTCAGCAAGGCGCAAGATACAAGAATCCTGAACCCATCTAAACCACTCCCATTAGGAAAAATAACTATGCTTCCTGCTGAAACAATTAGCAGGAAATATATGCTTCTATGGCACCCTTTTAGAGTCGAAGTCTAATCTCCCTTAAGGAGAAGGAAAATCCCACTGAGGTATCAACCTTCAGGGATACCGGGGCTTAATGCTCTCTCTTATAAGAGGGAGAACTTCCAATTTCTGAGACCTCATTAAACTCCTCAGTGTTATTAGAAGCTTATGGGGAGCTGTTTTTTTGTTCTTCTGCATAGGATTTTTATTATAAGCTAGTATTATACTGGGTGTTTAACTGTAGGTGTATCTTGGGGATTCCTCTTGAAAGATGCTTTATTTTTGCATGGCAAAAATTTTCTAAATTCTAGATGTTGCGAGGGAAAAGTTCATTAAATAAAAGTGGAAGTCTGAAGGAGTGGTGGAGGTAATATATCTGGTAATATGACTGTTCTGAAAGGGGTATGTGAACAGTTACCTTTACCCCCCCCCCCCCCTACCTTCACCGGGTGGGAGTCAACAAGGAACCCTTGCTGATGGAGGAACGTCACTTGGCTTCTTTCTCTCATTAAGTTTGTATGCATGGATCTACTCTTGATTAGTTATTTCATGCTTGGATTTTTTTCTTAATATAGACAAGAGTTCTACTCTCGTTAGGATTTTTAATTTGTTTCTCCAGACGTGATTCGATTTACATTAATAATGTGATATTTATCCATTGCCATTTCTTTTAAAGGCTTTCATCCTATCATGTGAATGACTTCTGGTCCATTTGTAATTTACTTTTATTTTCTTCTCATCCTTACTGTATATTTCGGGTCACCCGACAGAAGCAAGGTGAGAAGAGCAGCATGATCTGATAATAAATCAAAAACTTGATATTTCATCGTCTTGGAAACTTTGCAGTTCCTTCAATATGAAAATTCGGCAATCCTACTACAGATATGCAGTTCAACGATCTCATCTTGAGAACTCTGCTTTTCCTATACTACCAGGACAGTGCTACTATGTCTACAACATTCTACATATGCGGAACTTGGCCTATTCCTTATACTACCTCTTACCGATCTCCAGTTGTCTACCATTGCTGGCAGCCAATTCCTGAGCTGCTAGCTGTGCACCATCATAGGCGTTATTACTTCTGGAACCGGGCTTTACAACAGTCACAACCACCTGTGACCACAGCGCTCTCTCTAGCTTCCTGTTCCACTCCAGCCATTCCTGTGCGCCTTGCCATACCAACGGCAGATTCAGAAGAACATCATTCTGTACATATTAGGAGTGCATCATTTGATTTTTTTAATTTTTTTTCCATCATTTTGCTTCAGTTAGGACTAATTCATATTTAGTTGTTTTATATTATGAGAGATTTGCATATGTTCAAAAATTTTTTTTATCTTATTTTGTTATTTATTTTTCTAAGTTTTCTTTCCTTAATAACGAACAGGGAATTTCTTCAAATGCTCTTTGAGGGTCTGGAGGGCCCTTACACCTTCACAATGCTGTCACGAGCCTATTTTAGCCAACGAAGCTGCTTCTCCGATGTTGTTCAGAACTCGAAATATTTCCGAAGGAATGTTTAAAAAAGAATACTGATCTTACCTGGGTTAGGCAATTTATTATACGAAGAAAACCGGCCAGGGCATCATAAATAAATTGAAAAGTTCCTGATCAAGCTTCCTATTCTGGGATCGCAGGATTGCCAGACGTTTCTGTTTCCATACCCGAGGGACTGTCCTTTCGAGAACAGTAAACGGACTCTTTAGGATTCACTCTTAAAGCTGCCATGGGTGAATCAGTCTCAAATCACTCGGTTAAATATGTACTTAAAATAACTTACTAGTTTATCCAGCTACTGGTAAACAGGTAGGGGAGTTTTAAAACCACTTGGCTGGTAATACCAAAGAAACATAGGACTCAGATCCTGAAAATAGCTCACAATAAGTCCTTAGAACATTTAGATGTCATTAAGCCCTTTATATATTACACAGCATTTTTATTTGCCAGGAATAAGAAGGGAGGTGTGGAATTACATCCATTCCTGTTGTGAGTGTAAGCAAATGAGTAAGCCAGGACTCTACATTAAACCCGCACCACTTCATCCCATACCCGCTGATGGAGAGCCATTTGCGGACCTAATCATCAACTGTGTAGGACCTTTACTAAAGTCAAGTCAGGTTACCAATCTATATTTACCGTTCTCGATAAAACTACTAGGTAACCCGAAGCAGTACCTATGCATTGTATAAACACGAAAGCCATTCTTAAAGATCTCAAGTTTATTTCCCACTTTGGCCTTTCTCAATCTGTCTAGAGTGACCAGGGCACCAGTTTCAGAAAAGGAATTCAGAGAAGCTTTAACTAGGCTAGAAATTAACCAGAAAATGTCTACATCCTA